CGCTCGATTTTTATTTTAATTTCAGATTCTCTAGGGGCCCTTGGAGTATAAACGACAGATTCAGAGAGGCCCTAAGACTGGGATTTTGGGTTCGGGATAATGGGTCCCCTAGGTTTTAGGATTTAGGGCCAAAAGGTTAGGATTTGGCCATGTGGGGCCCTAAATTTTAAGATTTGGTTTAGTACCTGGAGTCCTCCTGACATCAGCCGAGAGTTATCTCCTCCATACACGTGGATGCTATTGTTTTCTTTAATGCGGCAATCGGGCAGAGTAAGACGATACCTAGGAGTCCCGAACTCCCGATTCATTTTCATCATCATGCGTGTGTGTCAGCTAGGTAATGACATTTTATGCATGGCATGTCTGATTCGAAGGTTATTTTAATGTTTTTACTTAATTAAAATGACGGCGGGGGCTGGCACGGGGGAGAGGAGCTTTTATTTTAGTGGGAAACAAAAACCGCCTTCAATTTAGACGGTATACAACCCGCAAAAGTCCAGGCCCCGTGCACTCGCTAGCACCCTGCTGGGCCCTTCAACGCTTCTAAACTTAAGACCTCAGGAGTTCTACAGTGTCAAAGTTGCTGCGACCGTTTTTTTTTTTACAGTGCGTCACCTTCCGTAAATAAAATGGCGGCGGAAATTTTTAAACGTCGCATGGCGCTTGTAATACTTTGGCTGGAAGGTGACGATATATTGAGGTGATCGGGGTCAATGATAGGATTCTCTGAGCAGCGGAGTCCCGAATAATGATGGCTCTCGGGCATTTTCCCCCTTCCTTTTACATATTTTATCTAACAAATATTCAGGGAGGGTGTAGGGGCCAAAATATTTCGATCCGAATGGGGAGGCCGGAGAGGAGATTCGACTTGTATTGCGCCCTGATGGGAACCTGAGCACCCCCTCCCACCTTCCCTCCCGTCTAATTTGTCAATTTTTTTATCCTATTTTCACCATGTATGCTTAAAAATGTAAGATTTCACTACAAGACCGCATTTTCTGACCTGATAACGTACCTATTCTTTTTAGCACGGTTTCATTTCGCTCCCCCCCCCCTCTCTTAAGAACCGCCCAAACCAAAAATTTGAACGTTTCATAAGCTGCTGTATCGTCCCTAAAAAGGCGGATCATATCTGATAAGGGATCAAATCTGATAAGGGAGCTGGAACAACCTCTTCTTTCATTGGAGTACCTATTTCATGGAGTTTGGCGCGAAATTTCAAATTCGTGTTTTTCATGAAATTCTCCTCTCAGCTTCCGTCAGAGGCTGAGGCACCAGGGCGGAAAGGGTGCAAATAATTTAAATAGAAGAAGAACCCGAAAATGTTTCTTTCCTTATCCGCTTTCCAACGAAGAATTAAAGGGGGTTTCCGTTAGATAAATAAAGATGGAGGCGCCGATGAAGTCACTTTTTGAGGCTGTTTCGGCCCGGGCTTCTGAGACTAATGTGCGGCGACTGATAATGCCTTAATCGCGAGCGTTCCAGCTCCGGGCTTCGCTCAGGCTCAGGAAGTACATATAATTGTAAAATTTATTCCATAGAAATCGGGAGTTTCGCACATTTCTTGGTTATTTATGATTTCGGTCGACATAATTTGCCAAAACTCGCGAAAATTCAGGTCGATTTCAATTAATAAATCCCCACTGCTCGCGGCCCGATTCTTCCATAAGCCGCCCATAATAAAAATGCCGTTTGGTTCCCACTTTCGGCGAACAGGAGGCTCGGAATGCACCGTTCAAGGATAAACTTCAGCTCAGCGGCGCTCCAGTACATGGCGACTCTATTGTAGGTACTAGACGACTATCATATGAACTGCATTTTGCAATCTGGAACTATAAATTCTGGCTCCTCTGGAGAAAACACTTATGTGCATAGGGAAACTAATAGCACATACATTGTTTTTAAACCGGGCTAGAATTTATAGTTCCATATTGCAAAATGTAGTCCATATGATCATTCAATAAGCCCATCATGTGACAACTGTGCTTTTAACAACTTAGGTACCCATGTACCTTAACGTTGGTCAAGACCACTTACCTACGCTACCAGTACCCAGAAATTTTTACTGTACAGATTTTGAGGCCTCTTTTTGGGGATTTTTGGGCTTGTAAGAAAATATTAGACTCATTCCTGTATCATTTTTGAAATTTACGACCTGTAAGACATGAAAGCACGATTATCCTGTTTTTACATTCATAAGTACTTATTCATTTTTGTCGGAGAGCATCAATTGCCTATTATTTCAAGTTAATAAATTAAACATTCTTCGTGATAAATTGGCATAAAAGACGCATTTATTCTAAAACAGACATAACTAACAATTATCTTTCACATAGTGCGTGATACATTTGCTGTGAAAACTCCATAAGTGGCATGGGTGTAGTACAAAGGACACAAATTATTGACTCTTTACATAAGAACGTTGATAAAAGGCTTAAAAGAAAACACTACAACTGCAAAATAGGCATTAGAGGTACTCTAATTTCAAAATGGACGTAGCTGGAACTTCTGTATCAAGTATGTTTCAGTGCTTTGTGGAAACTGAACACACCATGTTTTCTTTTCATAATGGGATATTCTCTGTCCTTTGACAAATACTGTTAACTAAAATATATTGAGGAATAGATGCTCAGTCTGAATGAATTTCTATAAATCAGAATAAATGTGTTCACTGTGCTAGTTGTGCTTGGTGTATTTTCTGTGTTTGTTGAGTACGAGACCAATTCACAAAGGTCAGTCATTCCTGTAGATGTTTTTTAAGTTGATCCCTAATGCACATTGGTGGCAGAAACTTTAAATGCAATGCATTTTTTAAAGGAGAAACCAAGACTGTGTCATACTGGCTGCAGTCAAGTGAGGGTTGTGCAGGAGTGTGGATTTTGAAAAGATATGCGCAATGACTGACATGTGTGTATTGGACTTGGTTAGGTTTACTTAGTGTTTAATATGTTCATTAAATTATTTTTTACTTGGCAGTGTTGCTGTAAGAGAAAAACTTCTACTAATTGATTTTCAAACTGCCACCAAAATACAGGGCGCGGTGACTCCAGATGTGATGATAGAGACAATGACTTGACTTAAACTAAGGAACTGATTAAATAAAACAATTCCTAATCTACTTTACTATTTAAATAAAAATATATTTGTCACTCAAGTGATGAAACAAATCAAAAATTAAAACATACTTCTCATTAAAAAACTAAGTTAAGATTTTGTAAGTCAGTGGATCATGATATTGATGGAAAAATACATTTGAGATAAGCTTTCAAGACAAAACTTAAAAATATAGTTTACACAAAAAAAAAAAAAATAAATACTCCAGAGCTAAGTGTAGGAAAACACATTTCTTCGGACAAATAGATAGCTGAAGTACTTTCCTCTAATACACTTTCTAAGAAATCCTCTATGAAATTCTTCCCTTACGATTTCACTAAATGGTCTGTCTTCTTATGAAGTTCTCATTTCAACTAAACAAATTTATAGTTTTTATATTTATTATCTTTGAAAGGAGAAATCTTTAAATAAAAGGCCCTCATACAATTGGTTTAAAATTAATCATTGGGATACAATGAAGTTAAACTTTATCTTAGATACCATATGTTGTTTACCCGTGTGAAGAAAAGTCTGAAAGCAGCTATAGAATAAAGAAAGTAGTCACAAGCATAAATTATTTCATGCATGTTTAAAAAAAAAATTGAATTTAATGTACTTGAAACTTAAATTATACCCAGACTTGATAGCTACACGAACAAAATTAATTCAGTTAGTCAATGAGAAGAGCAGTTGTTACTGCTTTTAAATCGTGAACTTATTGGCAGAAAGCATATGTGTAAAGATACTATTTTAGGAGAAAACCTTTCATGCTAATTTTCTTTCCACTTTATTTTAAGTAATTTATTAAAAAACCACATTCAGCGGGTCAAATTCTGGAGAGTAATTTAGACCACCCACACCAGGCTTATACCTTCGTTATTTTAGGTCAAACAAAGTTGGGTACCGCAGAAATGATTATAGAATCAAGTCTGAGGAATCTGAGGGGTCCTGATTTTCAAAGTTAGAGTTCCCAGCATAATTTCTCATATCATTCCATCAAAATCAGAGAGTACGAAGAATTTTAACAATCAACTGCATAAAGTAGTCCAAAATTGGCCTACCCCTGTTGGGAATACTGATTCCTAGTGGTGTGGGCAAAGATCCCTTCCAGTCCTCCACAAAATGCTTGGTCTGTAAATGGATTTGCTGCGTGTAAGAAATACAGCCAAGTTAGTAGACTTTCAACATGTAAATCCGCACGAAAATCACATTGAGCACATAAAAAAGTGTGAAATCTACTCCCTAGAGCGCACTCTACATTGTGGCAGACACTCAGGTTTGCCCAGAGAGAGACTCGGAAAACCTAACCTACATAAACAAATAGTCATGCGATTTGTTAAAAACTTTCCTTGAGCAATATTTCAATTGATTTAGGGCTTTTGATTTTGCAAAACAAAGGAAGAGGAGGGAAACAAATACCAGAAAACGAATAAAAGCATGAACTGGAAAAAGTTGGCAAAACTGTTTGTTTATTTAGGTTAGTTTCTTCCTGGGCAACCCTGACTATCGGCTACTGTAGAAAACTGCCCGCAGACTTGGTAAATTTGAAAAAGCGTGATAATAACTAAGCAATTAGCACACTAAGGGGTACGTTTCAGACTTTTTGGATGTGACTAACACGATTTTCAAGCGATTTTAAGCGTTGATTGTTTATCCTCTTGGCCGTATCTCCTGCATGCAACAGACTCATTGACGTAAGGCTCAAAAAACAGGTGCTTCCTGTGGTAATTAGCTCCAAAGAATTCGAGTTTTACAGTCCAAAAGCCCTTCATGGCTTCCCTGATGAGGCGCAGAGGGACCCTGTACTTGCAAGTTCAAAGAGTTTACAATCCTCCTGTACCGCATCAGCAAAGCTTAAAAGGGCTACAGGACCGTTGAAGTCGAATTTCTAAGGGTTCATTGCCTGGAAAGACAAATTTGTCTCAAACCTTAACGTTTATTTAGTGACCTAGCATTTTGTGGAGGGTGGCTCTGTTCCTCTCCTTCAGAAATCCGTATTTTGGAGAATGATCAGCCAGTTTTGCACATTTGGATGAAGTATCAAGTGAAAATTTTCTGAGCTTTCTAATTTTGATAGAATAGTATTAACATTTTGCCGGGATCCCAAATTTAGAAACCACAACCTATAATTCAGCCCCCAAGGCATGCTGAGGAGGCTTCATGGCAATGAAAATTAGATTTCTTGGGGTCAGTTCTCAATTCGTTCTTGCCGTTTCCAATTTTTTTCCAATGAGAAATAACAAAAAAAAAAAATCCTGATGCAGGTGGTTTGGATCACCCTGTGAACGTATTTATCTGTAAGATATTTAAAAATGATTAGTCTAATAACAACATTAAGACAGAGCAATTTTACAAAATACGATTCTTTCAGAATTCACCTTTCGTTCAGAGATATTTTCGACAGAGTCTTCTTTTTTTGAAAACAATTTAACCACAACAGTCACAAAAAAAATTCTGGATTCAATTTCATCATTTCCTGAAGTTAAGTTGGAGGTTCCATATGAAAACTGGATGGAAATTTTGCCCTGCAACTTTTTTACTCACAACGCTTTTTGTTGTGTAGAAATAATTTTTTTCTGTTAATTACTAGAATAGTTTCGATTGTTCTCTACCTCTTCACTGGCGATGGTACTAGTATTCAGTCACATCTTGGATTAGGTTAATGAAGATCCTCTGATGGAAAATATACTAGAAGCTTTTGCCTCAAAAATCAAAAGGACGATAGCAAACAGCAAGTTAGCAGCCAGTGAAAAAATCATACATGAGACACGGAAGCAGGAAAATTGCGTCTCTTTATTCAATACAGAAAAACCAAAGAAAAATAGGAGAATCACAACCGTGGTGACGACTTTTATGGGGATTTGGAAGGATTGGTTAATCCCATTCACTCAAAATTTTCAAATGAGCCTTGGATTACCATATAAGAATGCTTGTCTCTCCAGGTTCTCTAATCTGCTTTCCAATCTAGTTCCCTTGAGTTTTCAGTTCACACTCAGAGCCACTAGTACCTTTCCTTGACCATTATAATATTCCCTGACAACTGCAAATACTACAGATGAAACTTTCTGTAGAGTTATATGAAGATATGTGAGTGAGTCAACTTTTTCAGGTCTTGCAGTGTTGTATTCCTTGTTTATTTTAAGAGGTCAAACGGCAAATCATATCATATTCGATAATATAAAATCATAGGTGTAATACATCACACCTAACGCTGAGCATGTCCACTACCCCTTTCACTGTATCACCCTTTCCTGCGCCTTCTCAATCTACTATAACTTCTCATACAGAGGTCTTACTCTACTTCCACTTCCCTTTTGGCTTTTTGCTGCTTTCCTATCTGCCTTGAGGCCACTTTCTCCTCCGACCGTTTCAGGTCATTTTTCTCTGCAACTTTGCGACACGTTCTTTTGTACCATCTTGCGCTCTCAATTAATTCCTTCTGTAATTTCAATGTTGATCACTGATTTCCATTATTACTTTTGTTGAAGATTCCAGTGATTTTTCTAGTAATTAGTGAGGTACTCTTATCAAAATTGTCTTCTATTTCATGGTAACATATCATTATTATTGACAATTCCGATCGCTTATTATCGATTCTCATTATTTACCATCTCTTTCTGCAGGACCTACCAAAAATGAATGAACCGCTTTGCCCCACAATCATTAATAAGAAGATGATAGCCAATAGAAATTGTTAAATATTAGAGCTTTGTCTTGTTGCATGCTACATTAACCTACAAGGGATCCGCAAAGCGCCCAGGGAAAGTTGAGCTGCGCAGCAGTCAGGGCGTTTAACCCCCCGGTTTTCTAAGATTCTTCTAATTCTTCATGACAGATCTTTAGAGAAAAAATATTCTCCAAACATAGTAATAAAAGACTTATTTTTCTATTTTTATCTGATATATTAAGCAAAGAACTTTCATACGGTTGGTTTGGCATTTTGAGCTTTACAGGGCTTACATTTTCTTCCCCTCCTAGCTATTTTTTCTTTTCCATAACAGTAAAATGTCAAGCAAAAGTTGCCTTTAAGTGGATTAGCTAGATAGATGAGCTAAGCTCATAAACATGTACTTGCAAGAAAAAAATGGACATTTAAAACCCATTTGGTGTAATTGATTGACACCTTCCGGGTTGGACAGTTTAAACATCCCTTGTTATTAAGGTACCAAGACTAGATGACTTTCCTGACTTATTTAGCTAGATCCTAACAAGTAAAAATCGATTTAACACAAGTTATGGACAGAGAACTGATCTTACAATAAAACAGAAGTAAAATACTTAAAATGTAAGTAAGGGGAAAAACTTATAAGGGAACAACAAATGATTGAAATGGAGAACAAGAGAGGGATCAATCATGTAGTAATCTTCTTGGAAGTAAACAGAAAAATATAAAATCTTCAAGGAAATTAATTTAAAATTCGTAAAAATTGTCAAAGACGTTATGTTAAACCCCCAATAAAAATCTTAAAATCTTGTCTGTTTTTCATTTCAAGGCTGACAGGTTGATCCAGGGAGTCTGCCAGGAATTGAGACAAATTAAAATACCTCACATTAAGTCTGATCTCCTAGCTCCTCTACTTTGAAATCTTCTGACACATCCTTCGCCCTTCTGCAAAGAAAAATGCACAAATGTTAGGAAAAACCAATAGAGATTTTGCGCCTTCAACAGACATAGACAACAGGGGTGTAAAAAGTTCCAAAATGCCGAAAATTTGCCACAATCTGGCGGTTCTACCTCATTTCTTTCAGAATCAATGAGAGAAAAAAAGAACACCATCACTTCTTAAAATGCTTAGATCTGTCACAATTGAACCGTAATTTTTCCTCACTCCCGGCCCCTCACCTCCTGTTTCAAAGCCCATGCTTGAGGGAAAGAATTAGCGATTGATGTTGAGGGTGAACTCCTCCTCCTTATCTACTGGGTTGGCCAGGTATATTGTGTTTTCTTTGGTTTTTGTTATGAAGCTGATTGGCTGTTGGGCCAGACTTGTGTTAAATCAAAACAGAAACCAGAAACCTCACACATTTTCACACATTGTTTGATTAACAGCTTGTTCATTAAATATGTACCAAACAAAACAACAGGTATTTTTTAAATTGAAGAGAAACGTTGTAAAGGACTGAAATTTTCAACACGCTCGTTTTCTATTAGATGAGAAAAGTAAATCTCAAAAACATTCATCAGGTTTTCATTTCAGACCAGTTGTAAGTCCTCTTTTGTTGTCTTGAATTTCAATAATTTCTCCTGACAAAATATCCCTGGTGAGCTCCTGGTGCAACTCTAAACGGTAAATTAATCAGAAAAAAAAGAAGGAAAAACTTACCTCTTAACTCTTGACTTTGAGGACTTTGAAGGAGCCTCCTTGGTTCAAGTGAGGTTGACGGCTTGTTAATCCCTTCCTCCAGCCAGTATTTCTGCTGAGCTCGGCATGAGTCAAACAGCTTGCTGCTAGCTTTGTCATCATTGTTCACCATCTGCTGTAGTTTTTGAATAGTCGTATAAACTGTTACTGGACTAATTAAACCAAAATCGAATAAACTACACATATGCAAAACAAAGTTTCGGTACAAATTCTTCATCAGGAGCTCTTTGCCGCGAGCTTCAAGAAACATCGAGCATGCCAGCGGTATCTGGCAATCACCAACAAACCTGTAGCAAAAAATGATTTTATAAAATGGATTTGCTGCGTTTAATAAATACAAGACTTCCCTTTTTTCATTCAAATTAAAATTTCAAATAGTGCACTATAATAAAGGAAATGCATCTTAAAGAATTTAAAAACTTTCATACACATGCAGCCTTGTGCAGGCAGCAGTGAATCATTGGAGATGGAACAGCTTCCTGATAGGACATACTGCTGGAATTTAAAAAAGAGGAAGTTTTGGTTTCATAAGTTGTGTCTCTTTTATTTCCTTTCCCACTTGCATGAATATTCCATGCTGCATCTATGTTTAATATTTTTCCTGGTGTTTTAAAAGTAAACTTGTCTTTTTTAGAATTTTCAAATAGTGTTTTCCTTTCTTTCAGTTAGAGAAAAAAGTAGGACTGTTTTTCATGATAAACTTTTGGGAGGAAATTGGATAAACCATCCACCTTGGACAAGAACTTCAAAAGGAAGAAAGCAGGAAAAGCAAATTCTGGAACTTTCTACGCAATTCATAATATTATAATTATTATTCTATTTATCATTCAAAGCATTACTTTTTTGTGATTAGCATGAGCCGTTAAGGCTTTAACAACTCAAACTTCAAACAGTCTGATCCTTAGAAAAAAATTCATCTTTCACTCCTGCCAAAGCAATCTGAGTGGATGCTACAGATGACTTATCAAGGATTAACTTTGAAGGAGACATAAATATCAATGTTGAGATTAAGGAAGAAGTGGGCGAAAAAGATGGGTGTGGACTCATACAGAGAACACCTTATAGTTGAAGTTTTGCATGCTAGCACCGACTGGCAGCTATTTTGCTCCTCTTAATCTTGCCCATTCATGAACTTATACATTTTTTTTTCAAGAGATGAGACAAAGGTTGCAAATTTTTACCTAAGCCAAAACCAGTTTTTGAATTGGCTATCATATTCTACATCTAATAGTCGAGGGATCTGGGGGGAAAATGATTCCGGTGTTATGGAGAATTTAGGTTGAGACTACATGACAGTTCCACAAGGAACAATTAAATACAAGCTTAGTACGAGATTCTCCACACTCCTCAAGTATCGGCAAGAGTCACTGACTGCACGGGAGGAAGTAGAAGGGGGAGCTGGGGTGCAATCAGTTGGTTGCCACGATTGCATTTTTGAGTTCTTTGTTCGACAATACAGTGGGCTCAATTTAAATTCTTCATAATGCCCCAAAACTCACGACCACTCGTTAGTTAGGAAATAAGATGGCCAATTAGAAAACTGACTTTCGTTCAGCCAAAAATGTGCGATCCTCAGCTTCTGGACTGTCCGATTCGGTTTCATTGATATAAATTACTGGTGAAAACTTATTTTTTCTCCGGCTTCTACTTCAATTGATCGACCTAGCATTTTATCATGGAGTGCTCAGTCCTCCGACTTCAAGAATCAGGATTTAGAATGGGCCGATTAGGAAGTATTGATGTCAATTTAGGTTAAATTTTTCCGGACTCTCTGCTTTTTATAAAATAATTTCGAAATTATGATGGGAACCTCAGTTTTCTGACTCAAAACCTTTCCCCCACCCCCCCCCCCCCCCCCCCCNCGAGATACTCAGAGAGGGGGAAGATAGGCTTCAGAATGATTAAATTCGGATTCTTGGGGATCAATTCTCTATTTGTCCATGAGGTCTTGGATCTCCTAACCTAGCTTGACCTAACCAAGAAAAAAGTCTGGTGTTAGTAGTCTAAGACAACCTATATATTACACCCATGGAGTACATGGAGTCGTAATGTAAATGGGAGAGCTGGCGCCATGTTCTGCTCGACGAATACCGAGCCCAGTGTGCGCCGAGTTCGGGTCGCTTTTTCGATACATTTTCGATCCAAAATGGCGGTGTGGAATACATGGTAATCCCTATCTCCTCTGTTGTTGTTATTGTCATCGGATGGCCGGGTACCCGTGTATCGAAAACAATTGATTATGTATCAAAAAAGTGACCCGGCGTCACACAGGAGTCTTGGAATTCGGGACATGGAAAATGCTTAAAAGTGGCGCCAGCTCTCCCACTTACATTACGACTCTATGTACTCTATGATTACACCCCATTCTGCAAGAGGCCCTAGAAAGTGATGATTTTGACACTCTTCACTTATTTTCCTTCTTCCAAAATGATCACCAAAAAGACTGCAAATGATCTTTTCAGAAAAGGTTACAGGTAAGGTAAAATTTTATCTGAGAACTTGAAAACTTTGTTTTTAGGGTACTGAAATATTCATGCTCACCCATGTTTCATAATATGCAGGTTCCACATCTTCATGAGCTCTTTTTCTCCTTCATTTACATCTGTAAATTCATCAATCATCATCATTGTTTTCTTTTGAAGCCACTTGGGATCGGTCTCATCCTCACTGTCAACGTCAAGATCTTTCGGTTGAACTTTCTGACAAGTAATTGTGTGATGGTAACACCTGCATTTCAAGGAAGAAAAAAACTGCTGTCATTACTTTGAACAAGAGAAATTTGATTAAAAATTACAACACTACAATGTCCATTAAGATTTGATGATATTTTTAAAAAATTATCTTCGTCAATCGGTAAGGCGAAAATAGAGGTTTTTTTTTCTGTTTCTGTTTGGAACATTAGTTGAAAATGAAAAGCATTAAAGTAAAACCCGCTTATATTGGAAGTTTTGCGCGATCCCGTTTTTTGCCCATAAGAACAATGTAAAAAAAAACCCGGGTATATCGGAACCCGCTTATATCGTAACAAAATTTCGGTCCAAATCCGGTATAAACAGGGTTTTCCCCCAAAATTCTGCACAGAGTTTCAAAACTTACAATGTTTTATCGTCAACAATTATTCAAAAGAATCAAGATAATGGAGATGCCATTACGTTACCGGGGGCACACGAATCGGTCACATGCCTCATTGCCATGCGAGACGCGACTGATAAAGACTTCAATAGATCGTATTCGATACATCAAACAAGTGAGATTGTAATGATATCGATTGGTTCAAAACATAAACATAGCCTCAAAAGTCAGTTGAGTAATCTGACGGAACGGTTTTTTGTGATAGATTTTTGATTTGTATAACATCTGTCATAGGTCGTAAATCATCTGTTTACATAAATGACAACAGGTACATTCGATCTGATTGGCTATTGTGTTAACATCATGCGTGAAATGCAGACGCTGCGCTTACTGCGCATGCCGCCCGTTGCCCAATTCCCCTCCCTCCTCCTCCCTCTCTGATCTGCGACAACGAGGAGCAAGACCATGCACACACACACAGACTCCCGAGTTTTCCCCCTCCCGTCATTCCACACCTGTTTTTCTCGTCCCGTGGTGCAGTACGTCACAGAGTAGCGTAAAAGGTCGAAAGAGGAACTCAGTTCCCACGTGCGTGGAGGTGGTGGGGTGAGCCTGATACACAATTAACGGTCGGCTGGGTAAAAACCCATTATTTCCGCAACTTCGGGCGAAAAACATCGAAACCCGCTTTTATCGGAACCCGCTTACATCGCAGATTGCGGCCGGTCTGGATGCGATCTGATATAAGCAGGTTTTACTGTACTTTTTTTAGAGAGATTTTTCATTGAGGTGATACTTATCAAAACTTTAGGTCTTTCACAATTAATTTACACCTAAACTTAGTGACTTCTACTGAAAAGGAATTTTCATAAGTCAAATTTCCGATAAATCGAAGGAGGCACATTTTTGTCTCCAGCCCCATCAAGTTCCCTCTTGTGAAACAGAAAGGATAATTGGGGTTTCAGACATGAAAAAACGCACTCAAGTTGAAACTAAAAGGTATACCTCATTTGAACATGAAAGACGAATGCAATCGGTACAGCGCACAGCATAATTGAATTGAGCAAGATGACAGACAATGCAAGAGATTAATTTGCAAGGATAATATTAGGCTCTTATTGGTAGTATTTTGGAATTAGGGCTGAGTTTGCTATTATTTTGATAAAGAGAATCTAAAAGTATACTTAATTTGTAACCTTATTGGTAGGCCCATCAGATGAAATAGTTATTCTACTCACCTACTGTGACCTGTCATGAAGGAACGTTGTCCATCGTACTCATTGTCGTCAAGTTCGTTGTTAAACTCAGACAGAGAGGGGCGGCGAGGTCTTTTGGGGTGACAGACCATTAGACTCGTGCAAGATGTTCTACGGATAGGACCACTGCGTGAGAAGGCATACCCTAAAATTGCTGGAGATCCAGAAAAAGACCCATCATACTGATCATTAATTGCCACATCGATTCGGGCTCCTGTCGGTGTAGGCTGCAACAAAAGTATCAAATAATGAACATAGAATCATTTTTTGATGTTCAAAAGATGTAAGCGATCCACAACACAAGAATTTTAACAACTTTCTAAACTATTATGAAAAGTGTCTTTAAAATCGAAGGTTCTATTTTTGGCATGCTTGGCAAGTCAGTCAAAAGAGTTGCTGAAAATCTTTGAATATTCACAAAAAAAAATTGAGTTTTCCGACTATGTCATAGGCTCCACAGAGACAAAATCAATCTCCTATCTATCAATCCCAAAATCTTCTCACTAAATAGTTTTCATAAACTCTAAAAATCCTACAAACAGTCTCTAAAATTCAAGGTTCCAAATACCTATATGTTTGCCAGATTAGGCAAAAAATAGCAATAGTCCCACACATTTGGACCAAATCAAACAATTCGACCTAGCAAAGACCTACAAAGGGGCAAAAAACCCCCAAATTCCGAAACACAAACAATTTTTTCTTAATTTGTTATAAAATCAAGAGTAAAGATGGTACTTTAGTGCAGCGATTCTCGACCTGCAGGCTGCCAAGAACACGTGGAGGGATCTTGAAAAAAAGGTAGAATAGATTGAAAAAAAAAAAATTCTAAGATTTGAATCGGAAAAAACGAAGTCTTACAAGGGAGGCTAGGAAACTAGCAGGGAGAGCTTAGGGGGCCTGCAAGCTGAAAAAGCTGAGAACCCCTGACCTAATACAGCAGCCATGTCTATGTCTCATTGGATTCACGGTGGTTGAAATCATGGATTGCCACTTCATATAATGTCATAAATTTCAGGCGAATGAAATTTTTTTTTTTCATTACCGAGACTTTCTGCCTCTTATTTGGACTGCGTTAAACAGAAAGGAACCAAGCCACATCAGCTATTGCCAAATTTAATCGGGCAATTTAAATTTTTACATGAAAACGGTTGTGCGGATTTTTGTGCAAATTTCAGTGGATTTTCTCCGGAGTACGAAGCTAATTCCTTAAAAATTTCAAAGGAATCCACACAAACGTCCTCTCGTAAAAAACTAAACGGCCTGGTTAACTTCGGCAATAGCTGATGTGGCTTGGTTCCTTTCTGTTTAACGCGGTCCATTTGTAGTTGAAAGAAGCTATTTTGAGCTTTTAAAAAGGCATTTCTTGCTAAAATGTACTCAGAAAACTGCTACTTTCAAGGTAATTCTTAATTCAAGCAACAGCCTCACTCTCTAATGATTTCCTGAATTTTCCTGGATACTTTTCGTTCCTGGATGAATTGCTGCAATTCCCAAATATAATAAGTCCTAGACACCATAAAGAAAAGTAAAAATATGATAAATGTTAAAAAGTGACGTACAACGTAAGTGAAGGTGAAGCGGGAGTGAGAGAGTTTAAGGTGCTTGAGAAGTGCATAGAGAACACGGCAGTGAACAGAGCACCATGGGCAGTGTAGGTCCTCACTCGCTTCGGTTTGTTGCCGACTGTTGTTGTTATACAGGAACTGATAAACGATTTGGAGCCTTTTTGGTTGCACCACTCCCGGAGAAGGCTGTGATGTGACCTTCATGTCTTCTGATTTCCGGTGGCGGACAACACATCGTTCTAGAAATTAGAACAAATGAAACAGAAAAAGAAGTCTTGGTATTGAAGGAAGCTTTTTAATAAATAATTTCTAGCTTATTGTTAGACTACAATATATCTTAATGAAAATGAGCCTAGATTTCTTGATGAACCAAACATGCTTACTTTAGTTACTCCTTTCTTCAAATCAGCGATCGCAGATGTTGTGTCTTCATGGCTACATACCATTCCCACATTATAAGAGACAATCCTGATTGTAAAGACAGCTGAATACTGCGCCCATTCATGGAGAACAAAATACTTCTCACTGAGCTTTTTTGCCATAATATCAGTGCGCTTTCTGCCAGGGAATTATATTAACATTGCTGTTAAAAGTGCCAGAGTAGTAAATCACAACAGAATAATGAATGACCTTGAAATGCTAGACTACCGTCTCTCTCATAGTAACCTTTGCAGAGTGTGCACCCCAATCCCTTTGACACAAGGACTATAAGGGTGGCTTTTTCAGTTCATGACTTTTAGGTCAATGGCAGAAACCGAATTATGTCTTCAAAAAAACAGCTCTCTTTTTGATTAGGCCAATTTATTGCTAAGATCTACTAAACTATGAACTTACCTGGTTTGTTGTTTTCTTTATTGCTATTATTATCTAAGGAGATTTGATCATCCAATGGTTTTTCGAGATCCTTGTCCATATAGACAATTGTTCCATCTTTGTTTTTGGCTTTGACCCATTCTAATCGAAACTTCAGTTTCGGATGACCGCTCATCTCCATGGCTTTGTCCAATTCCTATAAAAGTGATAATAGAGATGAGGAAAATATTTTGGACGAATGAAGTTTTAAGAATATACTTCACAAAGAAAGTTAATTTTGATCGACTTTAGCATCAGTTCATTCTGTCTGAGTGTTAAAGGTATCCACAGAAGCTGCGCAAATGATCAAACATTGATTATGATCCCAATTAATTTTTTCTTAATCATAATCGTGATCCAATTGAAAAAATAATTATGATTAATTTACTTTCTTAAAATATTGAATTTCTCACAGCATTCATTTTAGTTTGAGTCATTTCTAAAGAAGTATGTGCTAGTCTTCAGCGGTAAAAAAATGCACTACACGCTTTGAGTAGCGGGTGAAAATAGCCCTACTGAATGTGGCTTAGGTTACTGTGTCCATAAAATAAAAATAAAAGAATATTGTCGGGGCAGGCGGATGTATCTTATCAAGAAATTTTTTTTCCCCAGAGCTCATCCTAAACATCTCTGTAATGTGAGAAAACCACTTATAATTGGATCCGAAATACAACTCTGAAAAATGTATCATGTGATCTTATAAGAAGTTTACAACTACTTCTGAGATCTTTCAATCAAAATTCTAATTAAAATGAAAGCCAACAACCTTCTTTTCTTAAGAGACTGCTTCCATTTGAATTCTTTTTTGAAAGATCTCATTTTATCTTCCTGAACCCGGAAGTTGGAAAAAGTCTTGTTAATTTTGGGCGGAAAGGATCTTTTGAAAGTAAAAAAATGATGAATCCTCAAAACAAATATCGAAGGATATCAGCAATCAACTTTGCATCAATGCCATAAAATTCATTGTAAGGAAATACCTGTGAGTCGATATCCAACGTGACATATTTAACCCTACATGATCACAAAATGACAGAAAACGAGAAAAATTGTAAAAAAGAAAAAAAAAAAGTAGGGGCAGGTATACCATAGATACATTTTTGGAAGGAACATCCAAATAGCTCCTATAGACTTTAATGCAAAACTTTAAATACCTCAGGAGAACAAAGTATGTAGTTCTTGAGAGGAAACTGCAATCTGTGTAATCTACAAGTCAGGAATCAGCTTTGAGTGACCATTAAATGACTAACCTGCTCTAAGGTAGCCAAAAAATAGCCAATCTCACCAAAAACAAATTTACAATGATTGAGGATAGAGTGAATTTGGTTCTTCTTCTAAAATTACCTATGAACATTATATCTTTGATGATATTTTTCACCATGATTGAGAAAAAAAGGGCAAAACCATCCAAAAAACACTGTGCTTCACATAAGGAAGCCCCAGAGATGCTTAGGACACCACCTAATTAATTATTTAAAGAAAAATGTGGAATCAGATTTGCGTATGGCAAAAATTAATAATTATCAAAAAGTTGTTGAGACCATTTTAGCCTCCAGAACACATAATATTGATTTAGTTCTCAGAGGCCAATAGTATGTTTTAAGATTAGCTTAAATTTTATTCTTTACATCTCGCTTCCAAACTTCAAAGAAAACTGAGTTGAACAAAGCTTTATTTTTTACCTTTAATTCAGATGAGCCATGTATGGATCCAGCATTTCAGGATCTGAGACAGTGAAAATTGGCTAAAAGAGCCTCGAAAGAGCCTAAGAGAGCGATTTTTGATAGGCATGAATAGGAAGCAGATGCTCCACTTATGTATTTTTTTATATTATCCGACTTTGAAATAACGGCTTTTAAAGAAATGAAAAGAAAAGCGAAAATCAACAGCATTTTAAATCAACTATCACTGATTAAGAAAATGTTTTACAAGGTAATGAAAGGCAAAAAAACTTACCAATTGAAGTGGAGGGTCAATAAACTCCCAAGTAGTTGGTTGGAGATTTGGCTTGTGGGGATCATCAAGGGGCTCCAGCGGTAACTCGTATTCACCATCCTCAAGCAGACAACGATTCTGTTTATCGTACACGGTAAGATCTCCACCCCAGGCGTAGCACCTTTCACTACCTTTTTCTCCATTTTCTTTGCCATTTGTGGTTGCTCCATTTTCCAGATTGTCTGGCTTTGAGAGTTTTATTTTTTTCTCAGCAGGCTCTCCTGATGAACCAGCCACAAAACAGAACAAACAATTAAGTGCATAAAAAAAAAACTACAAACTCTAAAGACAAAACACAATACGCTGCAAAATAACCTAGGAATAAGATGATAGGATGCTCACGAATACAAATTAATTCACTAGAATTACATATTTTGGACGGAAAATAAAATAGTTAACCACTAAATCGTTATGGAAGCTACTTTTCTAACCTCCATTACCTCAATCTTTTGCATGACACTTGCTACAGGATTAGAGAGGGATAGAATGATGAGTTTACTCTTGTTTTAAGCTGGTATGAATCAGGTGAAACTGGTCACTTTGAAGCGTTTTTTGGAATTTAGAAAAAAGAAAGCTGAGACAAATCCTAATTTGTTATACCCTAATAACTGCAGCAGTTTTTACCTATTTTGTTTAACCCATTGACTTATTGATTAAATTTTGCTGTCCGAATGAGTGATTAAAATAATCCTGAAACTCCTCTGAGATTAAACATCGATATAATAAGCATTCTCAATACAAAATTTGAGGAAAATGGTGAAAACCTGAAATAAAATGATTTGATTAGTGATGTATATCGCTGTCAAAGTCACAAAAATCGCAAAATTAGCAAAAATCAGACAATTTTGATGTCGTTTCATATTCAAAGGTACAATAACATGAAAATCCTGAAACAAAGCAAGAAATTACCGTACACAATAAGACATAGGTTGGTCATGCTACTCATATAAACATTGATGAGAACGTAATGTACAAGTGAACCGCTGAAGTAACGGAAACAATCGATGGACGGCTCCCAGCCGTTTCTTCAGATTTGGCCCAGTGCAGCGCAGATGGCTGGGAGCCGTCAGTTTAAGTCGATGGGTTAAATCTTCTCCAGATAACAATAACGTATAGTGACATTTGCTTGACCATTCGGATCAAGAATTCTTGGTGGATATTAAAATTCCTGCACTGTAAAACAGCTCTTCAGGGACAAATTTTTATAAGTAGTACTGATATATACAAGTAAGTTGATGGTGCCAAATTGAAAAATAATCACTTCGATACAGACAAGAAAGCAGGGATGCAGAATGTTCTTTGCCTTCCCCCCAATATAATTTACCTTCCCAGATTTTTAACAAAAATTTATAATCGATTCCTTTTACATGTATTTTAGGAAAAAATTGACACCTTTCTTTGGGAAAAATTTGACTTTTTCACCGCTGAAGTACTACAATAAAGTTTCTTTCCTTGCAGGAGTACCTCCATTTCATATTACAGTTGGTGGTTATGTAGTCGGGAAGTGTCTGCACCCCTGCGAGAAAGAAGCAAGGAATATGATGTAAAGAAATTTACCAATATCCATAGTATCCAACTCAGATAATCTAGTGGCTATCCTAATTAAAACATGATATGATTTGACTACATGACCGTTTGATAAAGTGAAAGCTTCGGTTGGAATAGAAACTGTTGCAGCCTTGGACGGTCTGAAGGAAGAGACATTCAGAGGAACTGAACATGTCCCTAAGGGATCCTGAAAAACGAAAGAATAATGTTTTATTTGCATATACCTACAAGGACTTAAATTCCCTACTGAAGACCCTGGTGGTGTTACATAAATGAACGTCAGTGATACAATATGTTAATCATCAATGACTTTAGAACAGCTTACTGTGAAGGACAGCATTTCGATAGATTTTACTTGGCATTCGATGTAAAACAGGCCCAAGAATTAAGATTTAGTACATGAAGAAATAACGTGTTGGCTAAATATGGTATCTAGAAACTTAGCACAGTCCCAAATTCCGTCGCACCCTAGCTCCTTGCCAAGCAACTTGGTAGCTGTGTCAAAAATCTTCGACAAATCAAGATGTGGTTTGATAGCTTTCATGGCTTTTAATATTTTGAGGTAGACATTGGAGCACCAGTTAGAGGTTATCACAAGTCTCTTGTCGTCATTTGAAAAAGACAAAAAGAGCTACTTAAAGAGTAAAATTTGATTGAGAGAAAGCACATGAATTAAAAAAGTTATTCCTCACAAAACCTGGGGAGCACAACCTGAAAAATTGTTTTAAACAAATAACACTTTAGCAGGCTTTTAAAAGTTGCCAATACAAATTTTCTGCACTATTGTGTTTTGATTTTGAAAAAAAAGTTCTTTTTTGACTGACTCTAGTCCAGCTCCCAAAATAACGATCGTCAATAACTTCAACATAACATGTAGTCAGCAATCAGGATAAGGTCAGAAAAAATTCAATGATCAAAATAAGCCCTGACAAAAGATCAGGATTCAACAAAACTTCACGATTAAAGCTGATGACTGTCTGGTTAGTAAGGTGTAATGTGTAGATCACTTCATAAGCTAGATGCAATTCCATTTACTAAAAGTGTGTGAAATGACAGACGCACATGTTCAGTATAAGAGCTATCGTATTCCTTTTGTTTTGGCACAAAGACTTCGATTCATTTAAAATAATTTTACCTAGGAGGGCAAGAGACAAAAATATTTCAAATTTATTACCGTATTTACTGGGCAGGACACTTCCTTTCTTTTCTTGTGGCAAATTTTTAATAACAGTGTCTCAATTTCTACAGGTTCCTCTGAAAAAATACCTGCAAAGTAGAAAAGAGATTAAGAATTCAGCCATGTGAAAAATCAAGAGGCACTTGATCATGTACAAGTCAATGTCTCCAGTAGGTAACTGCTATCCACAGTTATTCTACTTTTTGTGAGAAAATTTTGATCTAGGTACAGAAGAAGAAAATCTTTAAAAGAAAAATAAATTTTCCCTTCAGAAAGAAAAAAAAATGCCAAAACAAACTATACCGAAGATACACTCCTTTTATGTGGAGCCAAAGATGAAGGATCAAGAAATTTGACGAGTTGCACAAATCTTATTATTCATTTCAGACAAGAAAACATCTGCTATGTTGCTTTTTGGTATAAAGGGCTCCTGTAAACGAAGTTCCAGCTAAATCTACCAGTGAACAACTGATTATCCTTAATTTTCGATCATAACCGGCTGCCATTTAAAAATCAGAGCAAAACAACAGCCTTAGATGTGTGCAATTTTTTTTTCTTGTTAATGCTCTTTGCAGAGAGATATCAAACAAGAAAAGGATCCTCTTTAAAATACAGAAGTTGACTCCTGCCCCTGTTCTCTGGGAAGCAAGATGTCACGCCTTCCTTGAGACAAATAATTCCGATTTTCCATTTAAAAAAATCTTATTCACGATATATGAAGATATCTTGACTGTTTTTAGAGATATTTGAAAGTATCCACACTTAACTCTTTCATTGTCCAGCGCACTGACTGAGTCTCAACACTAAGTACGAATTCAAGCAAGTTACAACATACTTTCACTTCAGAATTTCACAAGGATAACGAATCACACAACGGGGAAGCCAAATGTCAATTCCTGAACAAGATCTAAGTGAATACAATAAACATTAGCAAAATGGCAAAAATACAAATTATGTCATTTCTGTGATCTAACTTCTATAAAAACTTTTTGATACCTTATTCAGGAGTTAATTTTCGAATTTTCTGTTGTGTGAATGGTTTCTTGAGTGAGATTTTGAAGGGGGCGCATGTGACCTATTTCTAGACGATCCCCTGCATGGTGACCCATTGAATTTAGAGACATTTTGCAAAATCGATTCCAAAAATTTGAAGTAAAGGCTGGAGGCACATTTGGAAATAATTAGTCTTCATTTAAAAAAAATAATAGATCAACATGGCAGGGAGCAGATCAAAATTTTTTAGAAAAAAGGTAATTCAAAGTTTCAGGGCCATAAACTGAGTTAAAAATACTTGGATGGCCGTCTTTACATCTACAATTCAAGAATATTGAAAAAAAGTGTGGGTCCTTAGACCTCTTCTTTCTTTCTGTCTCAGATGGAAAATTCAGTGATCTGCAAAATGAACCGAAACACTAAGAACACACCATCAGCATTAGAGAAACCCAGGAATGTGAGGACCATGAAACCAGGGGTCATTACGGGCAGCAAGGCCTGAACCTTGTTTCGAGCTTCTACAATTTTCAGTAAGGAGTCAACACGAAAGTTCTTGCGTCCAGCATGACTTCGAGACATTCGCTGCTTCATATAACTTAAAGTGCGATTCAGAAACAGAGGCTAAGGAATGGAAAGAAAAATTAATTAGATAGACTGCAAAGACGATAAGGACAGAGGTAATCAATTATTAATCAGGACAAAATTTAAAACCTAGGATGCCAGACGAGATATTGTTTAGCAGCTAAAAACTAGGAAAACTAATGACTTAATCATTGATAAGTTTTCCTTTATATCAAATTTTAACTGAAAAAATTACTAGGCACCTGACAGTAAAGACTGTGGAGGGGGATGTGCCGAAATTCCCACCTGAATTTCTTGAAAAGAGGACTGATGAGGCATGAGCACATTTACATATATTTCTATGTTATATTAAGGATTCTCCCAATTTTTTAGGTCTTCAAAAAAAAAAAAAAAAAAAAAAAAAAAAAAAAAAAAAAAAAAAATCAGAAATGCAGGCAAAAATTTTGGAGGAGCAAATTCTTCTGACAGCGATGAAAATTTAGAAAAAGTAGGTGGTCATGCAAGTTGTAAAAAAAGTCGAATTCTGGAACTTTCATTGACTGAGAAAAAATTTATCAGAAAATATTTCTCTAAGCTGGCTCCACAATCTTGGATGAAAAGGAATCAGAGGGTGAAACCTTCAAGGGTACATAGACTCTATGACAACTTAAACGTTCAAAAGCAGATCATTAAAAAAGCATAATGCTTTTATTGCAATAAATGCTTCATTATCTTAAGGGAAGGAAAAGGAAGTAACATCAATCAGGAAAATAACTGGTGTTTAATTAGGTACAGGACCCAGAGTAGAACCTTCATACCTTGGGAAAAATTCAGTATTCATTGTATTTGATATTCATAATTGCAATAATTCCCAAACATGTAAAACATGATACAGAGTAGATGTAAAATAAGAGTTACGAAATGATAAAATTACCTTTTCTGCGTGCCTATTCCTCAAGAATCTATAAATCTGCGTTGGTTCTGAAATCAATTTGAATACAAAGGTTAGTAATGGTGGCAAAGAGATTAGAATGGACGTCAGAGTTTTTAGTGGACTTCTGAAGTTGTGAAAACTAAAAATGAGATCATGAATTCCATCAAAAATGTATGATTTGTATGACATCGGACCAATTGGACGAATTCAACCACAGGCGAATTTACCTGCATTTCATAGTTGCCTAATTTTCTTTCATACCTTCTCTTTTTTTTCTCTTTTGACAGAATGACTATGGACAACCCTTAAATCAGTAACGGCTATGCAATTTAATTTGATTCAATTATTTATTTTTACAATATAAAAAAATACAAAAGGATAAACTAAAATAGTCTAACCAGGCAAAGGGAAACCCTGACCGCCTACATTATTGTGCAGTTGGCCCTCTCTGTGGCGGATATCAAGGGACCAGGGCATTTCGCTGCTATTAAGCAATTGCCGTTATAAAGGAGACAAAAAAATCCATTTTAATTAATATAGGAACGTCAAGGAACCAGTTGATCTTATCGCTATAGCGATTCATCTGCTATAAAGAGAGCTGTTATGACAAGGGCCAACTGTAAGATGAAAAGGAAGTCTTCAGAGTGTGCTCATTATGACACTGTTCAGTTGATCTGATTCCTCTCAATTTTTCTTTTGAGTTCCATCCTCTACACCTTTAAAAATGCAGAAGTCTAGAACTTTCCTTGCTGCTTCAGTATTAATAAATTAGAGTTACCTATGAAAAGCAAAAACAACCAAAGTTATACTTTGGTTAAAATCTGACAGGTCCACCCTGCAGAGTTGTTGTCCAGTGCATGACTCGCACACAATACCACATAGGAGTGTCTATGAATAGAGCAGTAATACAGGAGGTCCGGCAACGGTTTCACACTGATCATCTCTTGAGACACTCAGCCTGGACGTCCGCCTTCATTTCAGTATTTTCAGCACCGATCATCAAACTGACGCCAGACTAAAACTCAAGCTGATTGTGTATCTTGGCCTTGATACTCCACTTGTACGAAGGGCTAATGAGTTTGTTATGACTGGGGCATTGATTCCTCTGATGTACTTGCTACTACTAATTATTCACAATCCATCCAGAGTTCAAAGGATGTAGCAAATGCCCGATCTCTTAATCCTAAGATCATGAAGAGCAAGAGACGGATCTAGGGTGTGAGGCTAATCTTGGGATGTGAGGCAAGATCATAACATGCCTAAGCCTCAAAAGGAACGTAACAGTGAACTTCCCCTAAAATTGTTACCAACATTGTGGCTGAGTTTCTAACCACACTTTTCTTGACTTATCTCTCATTGGTCGTGAAAATGTGACTTAAGAATCAGCTTCCTGTGCCTATGTATCAAACGAGAGGATACAGAATAGACAATTTAGGGGTTAACTGAACACACTCAGTTAGACCAGCATACAGTACAACTCAGTGTAAGTTAACGGTATCCGCGAACGAAAGTTAAAAGATGACTTTTGGTTATGTAACTGTTAGCTGCAATAGCTGAATCAGAATGACCATTGAAGTCATAACTGGTTTGGATGATAACTGATGGGCACACACCCAAAATGAAAATTTGAAGGTTTACAGGAAGCGGAAACATAGGCATGACTACAGGGCCGAATACTGTCAGCACTCAGACATCAATGAATTGCAACTAAACTGTCAGCCAATCAGAGGCTCTAGAGCAACTTAAGTATAGTTGCGACTCATAAAAAGTGTCTGGAAGTATGCCTGTTTTCCCCGATGATATCTGGCCCCTAAGTACCATGTTCGGTTCAGTAAACAATGGAAGCTTCGGTCATCATCTTCATCAGGAACAGCGGAGGCAATTGGAAATTAATGAGTTGCAATGACTGTTATAAAAGCTGTTTAAAGGTATAAAAGTAGTCAGATGAGGGATTTACTGATAAAATGCCAGAAAAATCCTTCGGAAGCGAGAGGAGGTTGTAAACATTGGTAACCTCAGGAGAACCTGAATAAACAAACGTGATGCGAGACTTACTTTCGAAAGCTTGCAGAAACAGCTCATGATCCGCTTGGGTGTTATCCTTTTTGGAATTTTTTGCACAAGAAAGTTCTTTTTCGCGTTTTTTGTGAGGCATTTTAATTACTGTTGATAACGGACTGACTCTTACAGGTAAGGTAATTCAGGAGAAGAAGACAGTGGTGACAGTGTCTGATTTGTTTATACTGTGACGTAGCTGAATACAAAAATATGGATTCAGGACTCCTGAACCCGGCAAAAGCAAAACCGGAACGGAATGGTCCGTTATTTTGGTGGTAATCTGGAAGTTAAAAAAAAAAAAAAAAAAAAAAAAAAAANGGTAACTGAGTCTGCAAGACCCGCAAAGTCGCAAGTGCAAAAAAAGAAAGCAAGTCACATTGGCTGTTGCTTAATTTCATCAGCTTTTATTTTTTTACCGTCAGAACGGTAGGATAGATTCTTTTAAAAATTTTAGGAGATTTTTCCTTTGACGTAGAGCTACTGCTTACGAGTTTCCAAAAGAATCCAATCAACCGTACGTCAGTTTTCCATACATCTTGTTTAGAGAAATTTGACAACGGCTCATATGACTTGAGTCCTTTTTACTTCTAGTCCGTCGTCTGGTCCTCCTCTGGTTACCAAGAAATATTCCTGTGAAAATAACGTGGTCGTGGTCTCGATTCCTGTCTGTATTCTTGTAAGTTTGTTGCTCGAAAGTCGAAACTGTCTCATTGCTCTTACTTGTCAATTGATGAAGTGATGGCTTGAGGAAAGTGCTCGTATTCAGGCATTATATCTATTGATGAGGTGGGCTACTTCCCCAAACGGTATTTTACCAAAATACCCAAGAAAACACCTAACCAAGAAAGAGGGCGCTGGTGTCGTTTTATGAAATACCTTCCCGGAGACGTAAACATTAGAAATTCTTATATTTTCGATTCAAATTGTCAACAGTTACCGTGAAATGCCGATGTTGTCGTACCTCATTATATTAAGATTTATGTTTTGCGGAATTGCGGATTGTAGGCGCCACGAAACTCAAAATATGTTTTACTTTTTATTATTTATATTTTTCTTAATATTTTCAGCAGAGAAAAATCTGGCCTGGTAAGACATGAAAACCGCGAAAAAAGACTCGTAAGTACAATCCCCGGAATAAACGCCGACGTACATATTATTCCGGAATTACATCCGGCCGGCCGTTCGAAGTTTAACGACGAACAGTGCTGCCACTATAGCCGCTTGAGCACATGCTATATTATAGAAAAACAAGCAATGATATACATTTTTTGAGAAGTAACGATCACGCACTTTAATTTTATCAATTCATGGTCATAATGAATTCGATTAAAGTAAAAAAAAAATTGATGTATTTTACGTAGGAAACAAAAACCAGGAAGATACTAAACAATGCTGGTGCAATTGTGTTGGCACCGCTGTTCGTCGTTGAAGGACCAGCGGGAAACTGCCGGTCGAACGTGCTTCCGGAATAATGCGTCGGCGTTTATTCCGGGGAAATAAGGAGTTTTTCAGGGATTCCATGCCCATCCGGGCCGGGTGAATAGTCGCAAATTGGAGGATAAATCCAAAAAAAACCAACAGATCTTCATCTAAACAAGGGCAACTAGAAAAAAAAAAGGAATGAATCTGAAGATTCAACACATGAAGGCCTTATCCTGATCAATGTACCGAAGTCAACTTTTGGCAAAGAATGAGGTTGAGAGTTTAAAAAATTCGTCTAAAAATTTCCGCATGGCTGTGTATACTACTTTCTTTTCTTGAAAACTATTGTAAATGAAGAGGATGTGATACAAAATTTCTGAAATACCTCTCTTATCGGGAGCATTCATTACGTACAGCAGTTTTTCCGATTTTTAGACCCCCGTTCCCTCCTTCATAAGGCATCCCTCCTCCCCCTCCCTCCTTCATAAGGCACCGAAAGGCATCCCTCCCCCTCCTCTAAAAATTATGTAAGGCTCGACTGACTTTTTTTGCAATTTCTTGGGATGTAGGCTGGAAATCTTATGTAAGGCTCAGGCCTTCCCCACGTAAGGCGCCGTGTAAGGCTGTTAATGACATCCCCCCCCCCTCTTAAGTGCCTCACGTAATTTGTGTATGGCCGTTTTCAGCTCTAAGGGATGTGTAGGGCAAAAAAGGAATATTCGAGCGAGAATTTCGACCTGGGGTGGCTACAGTCAAGAGTAGAACCGCCAAAATGAGGCCGTCTTAACGGTCAAAACTGCATCCTAAGAGGAAGCTTGTATACTTATCCTTGCCAACACGGAAAAAATTTAATTGCTGATTTAAATTCAATTACTAAAAAAAGTGACTGCAATGTTTCAATGTAGATTTTACAACCAGAAAATGCTACTTAACCACCCCCGCCGTTAAATTAGCACACAATAGTGATTAAAGTAACATTTTCTGGTCGTAAAATCTACATCGAAACATTGCTGTCACTTTTTTTAGCAACTGAATTGTTAAATCAGCAATTTAATTCTTTCCGTGAAGGAGGCCTCTGAACTGTCAGGCTGTCAATACTTCCGAGTCTTGCTCGATTATTCATCCCTTTATGCCTTACGCTGCTTGAAATTCTTGTCCAGACTTTTTCGTTTTATCAGGGTGAAGCAGTGGGAAGATCTGGAAAGATCACTATCATTTGTAAGTATAGGTATGTAAATGAGTCTTAGATCTAACTAAGACCTTATATTTCTTACTCATGTTCCGGGTGTCGCTTTTTTTGAGCGAATTCATACATTTAGAGGCATTAGCGCCTCCTCGAAGACAACATGATAATTTGAAAAATGAAATGATTAGAAAGATAACAAAAATTGATGACTGTTTCTCCTCAACCAGAGAGGCCTTAGAGCCTCAAGACTGTGCAATGTTTTACGAATGACACATGTCCCCTGCATCAACAATAGTGGCCTATAATAAAGGAGCTAATTTGCAAATTTATACCTTCCGCCAGTCCTTTACTTCTGCCGATCTTTACTCACCTTTACTTACCAGAGTCTTGAATTCTTGAAATTTTTTGGAAGGAGAAGCTTTTTCCTTAGTACTGAAAGCCATCTTGAAAATCAAGCTTAAGCTAATGAAGAAAAAAAAATCCTTTTAACTTTAAGTGTACAAAATAGCACTCATACCAAGAAATAATAGTGTTTGAAAGAGAAAAATCTCGGATTTCTTCTGCCTTCACATGAGTATGGGTATTGCTCCCTTTTAGGTGTCTTCAAATTTTTTCTGCAATCAGCCGATGAGCACTTTCTGCATCCCTTTTGCCGATGAAAATTTTACAGAATTTATCTTGAGCGAGTTCTACTCTGAGTTTGACGCCAAATTACAAGAAAATTAATTCTTGGATCAATTTTCCTGAAAAGGGACGGTTCGGTTCCTATTCTCACTCGTTATGAAAGTTTCGATAGAATAAGTAAATATTTTATTACCTTTGGTGCTGACAGTTTCCTTTGGTTCTTCAGCTGCTGACAGACAGCCAAGGGTTTGCTAGATAATCTGGTGATTGCCAGGATTGTCGATCGGTGTCTCCAAAGTCTGGTCGATACAGGCTAATGATGATCATTAGTTGTAATGGATAACCAGAACTTAGGAGAAACCGGAGAACATCCATGAAAGTGAGTAAGGAGCGATCCACTTATCACTGTATATCCTACTGTAAATCATTTTCATTGCTGGCGATTAAGGATCCAGATTTACACATCAACTGGTGCACACTTTTACCATTCATCATGAAACCAAGGCCACTGATGCGTCATGCTGGCAGGTGATTCTATTCATATAGTCACCCCTTCAACACGAATGTTATCCTGACTGAATACAAAACGGATTAGGTATTGCTTCTCAATTAATGGAACTGAGTCGAATAACTGAAGCGTCACGCACCAGCCGAAAGTGGGTTTCTTTACCTAAAATATCTTGACCTCCTCTTTCAAATCTTGAACTGAAGTCTTTGATTATAAATTCCTCCTCCTCCCCTTCTAAAGTCGGCATCTTCCAGCAAGTGATTAAAGGAGAGGTAAAAATACAGACCATTCAGAGTTGTTTTTACTTATTCTAAAGAGCGTAACTTGACATCACTCTAAAGTTTTTTGTACCTAGGAGTTGTGACATTTCAAAATAATGCTGTACTCTAGATTGTAATGGACCATTAGGCAAGGTACAAAGTTACTTAAGCATTCTGCTACATGTTTCTGAACTAACATTTCATGGAGAACACGATTCGCGCAGTGAGAATTACTAAAATTAACTCCTAATCAAGATATTTAGTGTTTCTTGACCATAAATTCAAACCTCCCATTCATGAAAACGCAACAGTCTACTTCAGTCAAAACACATAAGTACTACACAAAATCCTGACAGTCTCTGCAGCATGAAAAAATGATAATCTCAGTCTCAGCGCTTCAGTTCAGCTATTGCATGTTGTCTGCACTTTGAACAACGCAGAATGCGGAAGGAATATTGCTCGATTGAGAGGCTAGCCATGATCAATGGGCCATTTTACTCACATTGAGTAATTGCGTTTCTTGTGACCAATTGCCCATAACCAATGTAAAATAAAGACATTAATATCTTGGTTGAGGGGCTTGGAGGACAAGGCGCATAAGTTTTTTCTTTTTTTTTTACCAATTTCAAATAGCCTATCGGCTAATTCCACGCTTATTACCCCAGCCCCTGGTGACCATTGCCTGAGACCATCAAACTCAGATCACCTGGCCGGGAATCGGACCCGGGACCTTTTGGTCATAAGGTCAGCACTTCAACCACTACACCAGAGGAGGCCGACAAAGTGTACTTTTAGTGTGTACAAAAGTGCACTTTTTGCTATTTTGAAGAATATGTTTTAGAAGTTTAGAAATTACATGAATCCTTAAGGCAGAAAGAAAGTTCAAACTGACTTTTGGATGCTTAAAAATTGGAATGTGGGAGTGAATTTCAATTAGAATATGCATTAAGACTAGTTTTACTTGAAATCATCAATAAGTGCCTCAGTTTTCAAAATCTACACTTATGCTCCTTGTGCTCCAAGCCCCTCAGTTAGGAGTTCTTAATCTCAGTGATTTTCCATGCAAGAATTGCATTCTAAGTGAAATTCTGATTAAGAAACAAGTACCAGAATGCTTTGATTCTTACCTTGTCCAGTGGTCTATATTAGCTGCATTTAGGGTGGGATTCACTTAGGTTTTCCAACTCAAGTCTGAGCGGTAGTAGTGTTCAAAATTACATCCAATTTTCAGGGGGCAAGGTCAAATTACTGGTTTGATTTGGCATGGAAAAACCCTTAACATTTTTAGCCAACAACATGAAGCTTAGCCACAAAGTATGAAAAGAGAACAAAGTACGTTTGTATTAGGAGACATGGGAGCAGCTGATGAACACTTCGACGGGGAGATAATGAATCTTGGATTCTCACTATTGCACACTTGCTTTGATGAACTTTTTTTGATAGACATCGTCACACTCATGACCCTAACTCAAACAGCAATGAACACAGTCAGCAAACGAAGCACAAAAAGAACTGGGTGTTGACAGCAAGAATGTTGATCTGCATTTCACTAACTCCACAGCACGATCCAAACTCAACGTGGAAATAGTAAAAATAAATTGTTCTCAGTATTTATTTCCAAATAAAGTACCTATCTATCGATCTATCTAATTCTAAAAGTGTCACTCGCAATCCCGGTGACAATGACCACCACAAAGATTTAGGCTCAGAGCACTATTAATCATTCAGTAATATTATACCCAACGAGGAGAATGAAACTTGGACATGAAAACTAGTACCACGTCTAATAACCGTTATTCGCAGACGATGGAGATATAATTTTAGAGCTTATGGGAACAGACTCACTGAGGATCACACAAGTTCACCTTTAGAGTTCTGAGTTTACTGAAGAGATTACGAAATGGCATTTCGTCCTGCAAAGATACTGAGTACTTAACACACTTCTGTTTGTAAGAATTGAAAGCACTATTGATTGAGAAATTCAGAAATATTATACTGTTTAAACTTGATGACCAATGTGATCCGTGGTCATTGATGTGATCATTGTGATCCTTGGGATGGAGGTTAGGCAGCAATATTTACGCCTTTGGGTTTTCTTTGAGATTTCAGAAACCCAAAATAATAATCACACAAAATATGGTTCAAAAGGAAATCAAAAGCGTTGAAAATATGAGAAACACCTAAAGAAAACACGTCACGTACTCACTCTCACTCATAGAAATCTCTCATTACACTGAGAAGACCATAGAGTACAATAGAGTCGCAAAGTACTGGATCGCCGTTGAAGTCACTTTTCGAGGCTGTTTTGTCCAGTTCTCCGGAGACTAGTGTGCGGCGACTAGCGATGACGCATACGCAGAGACTCGCGCTCAGCGCTCCCCACTCCCGACAGTCCCGACTCGGCTCCGTTCGTCGGCTAGACACACACTGAACCAGCTAAAATAAGTAGGCCGGTAATAAGTCTGAAATTGAGTCCATATATGAATATTATCTCGGAGTAACATACATTAATGGATTCATTATGGCTTTGAATATCTATTTCAAGCAAAATTTGCACAAATTAATACCGATGGAATTAAAAAAAGTCGAAAAAACACAAGCAGT